TCCCCCCATTGCTTATGTTTCCTGTTCTTTCGATAATGGAGACAGTATCGTTTGCGATATTGTTGGCGATATTGATTCTACTGCCGATCGTACGATACGAAATCCTTTTGTTACGTTACTTTCTTTCAAAGCTATTTCAGCAAAGATTAGGTTTTTAAAATCTCGCAATAGAATCTTATATTAAAAATGACTTTCCTCGATTGCAAGTCATCGAAATGTTACCGACAGTTCAAAAGGTGATGCGTGTACGTACGTGTACGACACCCTTAAAATGTAACACGACATATTTAACTGCGCATGTACAGGTAGTAACAGATCGCTATGATACCCCCACCGATCCCAATGCCTAAGCTTATGTTAAAGGGGTTAAATAATGACCTCTTGAATTTCTGCCATTCTTCCATCTCCTTCTGCCGGCGTTTCATCTCGCGTACTTGTGTCGCTAGTCGTTCATTCTTTTCCATCTTGCGCCGACGTACTTCCCCTTTCCTGCTTCAAGAGAACAAAATTCATAATCGTTAAGATACATGAATATTAAATAATTCGCAATTAATAATAAGGTATGCCTATAAGAGCCAAATGCAGGTGTTAAATAAAAAGTAATCATTATTGAAGTAATTTGCAATTTTCCTTATTATTACTTCAATAAAGATTATTTTTTATACATTGACATCTGCATTTGGCTCTCATAAGCATACCTTATTATTAATTGTGATTCGTTATCTCAAAGCCTTTTTAAAAAAAATTTTTTTTTCTTAATAAATAATTTGCGTTTGTTACTAAGAGAGACGTTACTCACGCGTCTGAATTGGACGGAGAATTATTTAGAAGAGAGTTCTCAGCATCATCGGAAAGACCTTCGTCAAGTACCACGCCGTCGTCCGCATTTTGTTCCCCTACACAATTTGTAATAGACGTCGACAGATTTGTATCTGCAGATAATTCTACATGATTCGGTGGTTCACTTGGTAGCGGTTTATCAGGCGGTCCACCTATTTCTGATTCATTGTCTGAAATTGACACAAATTCTTTTTATATTAATACCACCTATTATATAGATAAAGATTTGTTTTAACAAAATAATTTTTTTTTGTTACAGTGAGAAAGAGAGAAATACCATTATCTGTCGAGCCATCCGAGCTTAGATCTGCCATTATACTACGAGTTAAAGACTCTCCTCTTGGAGGTGGTAGAGGAGGAGGTTCATCGTCTCTTTCTAATGGATGGTTACTCTTATTATTCATTTCATCATACATTATTATTTCATCTTCAATTGTTTCGTTGTTCATATCCTGTAAAGTGCGTTGTAAAATATAGTGAGTTGGTGATTAAATTTGATTAGAATTTACTCCTATCGAAATAATTTTAAAAACATTTTCTTATCTAAAAGTTTTGCTCATTAAAATCAGACATGCGTCGCAGGAAAAGAATGCGCAGATCTCTCGGTCCATTAAAATATCAATAAAAAGATATAAAAATTTAAGAAAAAAAATATTGTAATTGTTATTATATAGTCTTGATAAACAATAGCGACTATTAATTACCATGCTCTCGAGTGGCAATTGTTTCGCTCCCTGAATAATAGCAGCGTATGAAAAACAGAGTTGTTCGGGTGTCTGTATCAGCCCCATACGAGACCGTCTCATTTCCATCAATTCGTGCCGCACATTCAAAGCGTTTAAACCGTACTTTTCAATCTGCAATCAAACAGCACGTGGTTAACGACTGCCGAAGAAATCGTTTGCTGCGTTCCACGTACCAGTACTAGACATGCGTCAACCAAACAAAACGTTCCCGATCTTCCAATTCCAGCAGAACAATGAACGACAGGTGGGCCAACATTTTGATCTAACGCTCCTGATCTCCTAACGTCCGCCAAGAAGTGTAGAAAGGCCGTTGGACGTTGTGGTACTCCAAAGTCTGGCCAAGTGGTATAATGAAAATGTAAAATTTCCCTACTGTCGTTACTCTCCAAGTCCGTTATACTGTAAGAGACAAATTGAAGACATTGTATATTACGTCATAATACTTGCAAAAAATATTACGAATTATTGCCAATTATAAGGGGGAGTCTTGAGAATGTGATGCAATTAATAATACATGCATTCCTTTACCGTAACGTTCTAGTGGTATAATCTGACGATTCTTTCTTGCTGATGTAATCCACCTTTATACTGACGTCTTCGAACGTCAAGGTAGGATTTATGTCGTCCAGTGGAAAATATTGATGGCATTTGATTTGGTTTTTCTCGATTATCTTGTTTAACATCAACACAGCTCTACTATTTTGCTCCCATATCATTAACCAAAAGTGACTGACGGTATTTGGCAAAGGTCCTTGCGTCAGGATATATTGCCTTTCAGCATGATTCACCTAATGTACAGACAACGAAAATTGTGTAATATATTTGCAATATCCGTTATATCGGTCGTTCAAATTATACGCAAATTGTTTGCATTGTTTCTCAGTTATATTTACCTGTATAAGATTGGCGTGAATGTAATCACATACACCTCTTTTAAGTATAATCCTAGTGTGATCGTACGGCGCTACATCTCTGTAGCGATTCAGGTTTTTGTTCTGTGGTTTTTTTGATTCATTGCATGTATACTCAAAAGATTCACACTCACCACGTATGCCCTGCAAGATATTAGAAAAGGAATCGTTAACGACTACAGAATTGTAAGAAGAAGAAACATTTGTCTTGCAAATAAAGAATATACTGACAGCACATAGATAAATTAAAATGGAAGTTTGTATATATAAAGATATATCTTTAATTTCAAGTAATCTTGAATGAGCTCTTGTTGAATCTTCAATGTATGTTCAATTGCTGATTACATTTAATTAACTACTTATATTACAATCATATACTTCACAGTGTATCCTGCGTTGAAATATGTACAATTACAAATCAAGCTTGATATAGAAAATCACAGCAAGCAACAATGTTCACTTGTATACTCACAAATAGGAAAATCAAATTAGCGATAAATATAAATTTTATTATATAAATATATGAATTATATAAATTATATAAATTCAATATTGCATTTGAGTAAGCAACAAGTCGCAAGAAATTTTGCCCTTCTACTGCACATTCTATGTTTTACAAATTGGTATTGTTTATTGTATAAAAAAGAACTCGACAAAATTTAAATTACACTTATACAAAAATAAAAATCATACGTGTGTAAAACAAAAAAATTTATTCATTAGGCATAGCAACAAAGAAGCCGCCTCCTCAACATAACATGATTAGATCTTATCAGAATAATTCTAACGTTCAAGCGTACTTATCGCGGTCGTCAAGTTTCACATGTTGCGCTTCGGAGAAATTTCGCGATCGCTAAATATGTATTTCCAAGTTGGAAGCCTGACCTTGACGAGTACAATCGCATGTTACACATCGTCGTGCATTAAAGCACTTCGCCCGACTCTTCGTCTCTCCGGGGCCGAGTCTCCCGCGAAGCGAAATCACTTTCCTTCCGCAGTTTAAATCGACCAGTGCCGTAAATCCGTGCCGGCGGGCTCGAGCGTCGCGTTTTCTCTCGCAAGCGTCGCGCAATCGGCCGCCGTCCGACGACGGGCATTATTAGCGCAATAAACGCGGAAGCCGTATTCACGTTGCGGCGGCGAATCCGCGTTGTCGGCGGCATCGAACGGTATTACGACCCATTGTCCGCGTTGACGCATGGAATATCACGAGCTCACTATCGACCGCGTAGACACACGCGAGAAAGAAAGACGCTTTATTATGAAACGTACGTCATCCTCGAATGGAAGTCGCTTTGTAGGTCGCGAGAGAGACGGTTCGCAGAGGGGGGGAGAGGGGGAGGGAAATCCGAATTGAATTCCCACTTTGGCGGAAAGGAAAAATTTACGCGTCTCCGTTTCCGCGCCGCACATGACGCGCGCTCGCGTCCCCCGATCTTATCGGACGTTATCACCGCTCCGTGCATGAATAAAAGAAAAAAAAAAAAAAAAAAAAGA